CTGCTCTCACCATCCAGCAAGGCCCAGGCCGCACGAGCAAGGAGCAGACACTGTCCCGAAGATGCTGTGTCCAGTGGGCCCTCCCAGCAGCCGCTCCACCTCGTCTGAGGTCAGCTGGGGAGTCTTTATTTCCCAGGGTTCAGGACAAAAATAGGATCGTGTGCTGCGAGGGCCTCAGCCTCCCTCCACCTTCTGGATGTATCCCTCCCGGGAGAGACTGTCATAGCCAAGCCCCGTGTCCATAAGGACAGAGGGGACCCGGAGGGGGTGGCACTGGTGTCTACATGCATGCCGTGGGGACGCGTGTGCAGAAATGCTGTAGAATGACGCCCCGCTAGCCTGTCTTTGGGGAGATTTAAGCTGAGTTCTGCGAGGTGGGCACCTGTATAGTAAATATTCACATTATTCCTCTAAATGAGGAACCGTCAAACTCGCTACTTTAAAAAAACACAGATTCTCACTCACGTTTAGGTTTCCCTGTAAGTTCGCCTGCGAGCAGCCTATCCAGCTCCGTGCTGCACTGGCCGTGGCCTTGGGCGCACACTGTCTCCCGGGGGCTCGAACCACTCCTCCTCCTCAACCATCCATGGCCCCTTGCTACCCTGAGGCCGGGCCCTTTCTTCTGCCCCGAGCTGCCTGCCCTGCCTTTCCTCTGTCGAACCATGTTCCTACCGTCCTGTCTCTTGGTTCCGAGTCCTGTTTGGGCTCCACATTCATCTGCGTCTGTCTTGTCAGGAACACAGGGACATGCCATCAGCAGAGAATGCTCTGTCTCACATCCTTCTTGGGGCGGAAGCCGGCCTCAAGCCATCCAGGCTCAGCTTCGAGAAAGAACCTCCACAAAAGTGCGCTGGGCCCTGTTCCAGACCCTTGATGTTGGTCTTCAGGGTCATTTCGGCCCCTTCCGGTCGTTTTTGCTGAACTTCTTTGCGTGGCCCCAGCGGCCTGCATGGAAGGTCGTCACGAGAAGCCCTTGAGGAAACCTGTGAGGCCGAGAGAGAAACTTCCTTCATGTCCAGGGCCTGGCCTGGCTGTCCCTCTCCCGAGCTACAGCTTCTGTTTGGTCTGACATGCACCCTGAACTGCATCAGTCGTGCTCCCTGCTTGCCTTGGCTGCCAGGGAGCTCACGTCCACTTGGTGTCCCAGGCTTGCTTGCACGCACTCTCTGTATTGACCTCACCCCCAGCCTCCCTCCTTTTTCTACTCCCCTCCTTTCCTCGTGACATTAAGTTATTGCATCATCGGTTCATTTATCAGCCTGCTCTAACTAGGAGGTGATGGCCTATGAGACAAACAAATGCTCTGAGACAAGTGGGACTGGAGGCATGAGTGAGCCTGCCCTCCTCTGCCCCAGCCTCGTCCCCTGTCCTCGGCCTTTCCAAACCGCCCACCCTTGAGCCCTCCTCGCTCACGGCGCCTCCCACCAGGTTCGGGAGGCCCCGGGGCTCACTCTCTCCATGGCTCGCTTCAGAGCCCTTACAACATACGTATTTTCAGGATTCCATCATCTGTGCTGTGAGCACACTGTGCGTCCCCGGGGCCGGGGCCATCCCAGACTTGGTGTAGAAAGGTGCGGGATGTTCAGGGTGGACGTCACCTGCTCGGGTCCCAGCCAGACAAAGGGCTTTGGGGACGCTCCGTCTGGTCGGCTCTGACGCTCGTTTGCCAGCTGATTACCCAAGGTCCTGGGATTAGGGGAACACACAGTGCGGTCCCGCCCTCGGCCAGCTGGGGGAAGGCCTCGGTATTCCGCCTGGTGGCCGCATATGGTTGGACTCCGTGACCCTGTGACAGTGGCAGGTGCTTTGTCAAGGCTGAATTGTCGCTCAGACTCCCCCAGGTCTGGGGGCATGGTGGGAGTGGGGAGTGACTGCTTATGGGTACGGGCCTCCTTTTGGAGGGACGGAAATGTTCTGGAACTAGATTGAGGTGGTGTTGCCCAACATTGTGACTGTGCTAGTGCCACCGAACTGTGGACTTGAAAATGGTTTACTTTATGTTATGTGAATTTCACCTCAAAAGGAAAAAGAAAACCTTAAAAAAAACCTAGTTGGGCATGAAATGTCCAGCATAGGCAAATTTACTGAGACAGAAAGTAACCTGGTGGTTGCCAGGGCTGGTGGGGCAGCCTTGGGGTAGGTGGGGGTGGCTGACAAAGGGAACAGGGTTCTTTTTGGATGATGAAAATGATTGTGGTGATGGTTGCACAACTCTGTGAATACACTAAAAACCACTGAATCCTACATTATACATGGGTGAATTGTATGGTTTGTGAGTTATATCTCAATAAAACGATTATTACCAAAAACAAGACAAAAAACAAACCCATGGAACATTCTGGAGAGAAGCCACTGTCACTGGGGCAGAGGTGAGCTCGGAGCCCCCTGGGCGGTCCTGGGGGAAGTTGAGAACGCGCCGTGGAGCCGGCTCGCCTGCTGCGGTAGCAGGATTGAGGGACCCGGCTGAACCTCCTCCTCCGTGGGGACCAGCTGTGTGCCGATGGTGCACGCCAGCTGTGGGGCCTCACAGACCCTGACAATCTGATGAGGGCCGTGCACCCTCTGCTTAGTGGGGGAGAAAAGCATTTAGAGCATTTTGAGCACAATTTCAGGGACAGGCCCCAGTTCAGGGCCCCCCAAGGGGTCGCTCAGGGCCTCCACTGCCCTCGGGTCTCCAAGTTGGGGCGTCTGCGCTGCTCTCGCTCTCGGGGGTGGCTCACAGGGTCTCAGCCGAGGAGAGACGGGACAGGATGGGAAAGAAGTGGCAGGGAGCCAGCTTGGCGGGCCCCTGCTCCTGCTCACCCGATGGCACCAGACACCCTGCCATCCTGTCCTGTCTCCCTCCGTCAATGACGCCCTGGCCTTGAGATGTGGCCTTGGACAACGGTGGCCTCAAACTGGCCCTTGCTGGGTCTGACTTCCACCCTTGTTTCTGATGTGACGACTTGGACGGCTCTTGAGATACACACGCGCCTCTACCAGCCTCCAACTTAGTGCCAGGGACAGGAAAGCCCAAATTTTCCATAAACTCGTGGCTGTGACCTTTGGGGACTGCAGAGCTGGAACACACTGGCTTCAGATAGGGGAGATTGCTCGGGAGCTTGTGGGCTGCGGATGGGCTGAGGGTGTGCCGGAAGGCTGCAGTGATGATTTATCAATTGATTTGTTGTTATTGATAACAAATTAAGTAGTAGTAATTAGTGTTTTATTAATGGCTTTGTCTCCATGACGTTCCTACCCCTCTTCTGTTGTAATCAGAATCACAGGATTCCCGAGGAATCTTCTAGAAGGTGGTGCTTCTCTGCTTACGCCCCTGGGAGACACGGGGTTGCAGCTATCTTGAGTGATAGCCGTCTTTTCCCAATTCCTGGGAGATAAAACTCTGTGAAGGGTAGAATTTTCTCAGTGCTACATTTCGCATTTGGGTTTCTCTTCAATCTCTGGGGCCTGCTTCCGGGCGATGCAGCAGGTGGCGGGACGTGGGAGCGCTGGGAGTGGACGTTAACGGGAACCCTGGAGCCGGCTGAGCAGGCATCCTCAGCAGCGTACTCCGTTTCTTGGACACACGTTCATGCTGGTTTACTGGATGTGTGCATATGTCATACATTTGTTTTCTAGTAAAACTGTTCCTAGTTAGCGCAGGGGAATTTTGAAAAAAGAAACCTAGTCCCTCACGAGGAGGGAGGGTGTCCAGGTTAAGCCCAGGGACTGTGAGTGACATGAGTATTGGGAGCATCAGGTTGCTCAGAAGGAGCCTTGAGGAGACCTCCGAGGGGGAGGCTGCCCCTTGTCTTGGGGGTTTTGGTCTTTGTGCCTCAGTTTCCCCAGTGTTGGGAAGTAGGGCCCCTTGGAGCCAGGACACCGGGCAGGAAGAAATGCAAAAATGCAGGCAGGTAGGACACACAGAGTCTCCACCTTGTCCCAACACAGGCACCCAGTCCAGCCCTCGTTCTACAAAGGGAGGAAGGCCTCATGCGGGACTCAGCCGGGGAGAGACGAGGCCTTGAGTGGGGACCACCCACACCCTGGGGTCTCGAGTTGGAGTCGCACAGACCTTTGGGCGGGGAGGTTGTCTTGCTAGAAGTTTCAGGGCAGCATCATGAGGCTCGAGTGGTGGTTCCTGTCACCGCAGCCACCCTGGGGTGTGGTGTCACCGGGTCTGGGCTCTTGTCTCACAAGTGCAGGATGTTTACTGACATGAGAGCAAACCCATGTTGATCACGCCCCCATAGCGGGCCTGTGCTGAGGGACATCACGCGCCCCCCTCCACACACACAGATACGAGATTGGTGGTGTTGCTGAATCCTCTTGACCAAAGGGGAAACCGAGGCACAGAGGCGTGTGACCTCTCATGGGCCTCGAGGCTCCTCCGTGGAGGGGCCACGCCTGTGCTCCAGGTGACACCATCACCCCACATTAACATGCTAATGGCAGGTGGGCCGCATCTCTAGGCAGGGCCTGGCTGGTTCCGCCGTCAAGCCTGCCCATGCCTGCTCTAGGGCCCAGCCAGCGTGGTTGCTCACCCCACGGAGACGCTCTCTGCCTGTTGGCGGGGTGGCAGGCGTGGTCGCCCCCAAACTGTTCGTCTCTGGTCAGGTCAACGCTGATTAAGCACCTGCTTGCCCCGGAGGCTCAGGGACGAATCAGCCGTGGGTCTGGCCTCCAGTCTGTGGACACGACACAGGGAAGGAGGGGCGCTCCCTGCAGCAGGACTGGGAGCTCTGCCCTTCAGACGTGGGACACCCCCCCAGACCAGGGCGTGCACAGGGCATGGTTTGCCCTGTGCCCAGAAAGGCTGGCAGGCACTCCGGCCTCGTTGGCTGGTGCCCAGTGATGTTTGCTGAACGAATGGACGAATGAGAGAGATCCGCAGGTCTCGGGGGCAAACCCCAGGGCGGCCAGCATCATGTCTCGGCCCAGTCTGCTGTGGGGATCCATCAGCGGCTGCCAACCCTCCCTCGGTGCCTCTGTCCCTTCACCGCCCTCCCTGTTTCTCCCACCCAGGACCTCCCACTCGAGGGCCAAGGCCGAGGCAGCCCTCACCGCGGCCCAGAAGGCCCAGGAGGAAGCAAGGATCGCCAGGATCACTGCCAAAGAGTTCTCACCTTCCTTCCAGCACAGGGAAAACGGTGAGTCGGGGGCGCCACATGGTGGGGGCGGAAATGGCTGTCCTCTGAGGCCATGTTCTGCCATCTCTCCTCGTGTTTGCTTCTCCTTCATGATGGTGCGTGTCCGTGTGCGGGGCCTGGGCACACGCCTCCCTCAGACACGCCTGCTGGAGCCTGCGTGGTTTCAGCATCCCTCCTGCCCCCATGCTGCGTGTCCCTGCGTGCATGTGGGCATCCCTCTCCTGCTCTGTGAGTATCCACGTGCTCTGCATGTGCTGCCTCTCTCTGCCCTTCCCCCTCGTGTTATTCTAGAACTTTCTGTGATGGCAGAACTATTCTATAACTGTTCTGTCCAGTGAGGTAGCTACTAGCCATGCAGGAACTGTGGCTGCTGCCACTGAGGACCTGGATCCTTGGTTTTGTTTAGTCTTAACTAATCTACACTTAAATGTATATTGCCACGTGTGACTAGCAGCAGCTGTGCAGCCAGGCTCTGGAACAATGAGGGGGAAGGAACTAGAAGCTGCAGCAAGTCAGCCAGATCCATGACCCTCATCCTTCCCTGGAGGTTAGATGGGCCTGAGGGAGGCAGGGAAGGTTGGAGAAGGAGGTTATTGATGACGAGAGAGAGGCCGGCTGAGGCTGAGATCCTTGCAGGCCGGGCTAGCCGCCCATCTCCCACCCCGCTTCCCTTCCGGCCTCACTCGGGAGCAGCCTCCCCACCAGGAAGTCCTGGAGAACTGGTTAGGCTCGCTTCCCTCAGCCCCCACTCCCGGCGGGCGGCAGCGCAGGCGTGTAGTGGAAGCTGCTCCGGGTTTAGGACGGACTCGGCCACCTCGCAGTCTGTGTTCTGAGACCACACCCTGAGCTCTGCTCCCAGAACCCGGCAGCTCTCAGCCTCGCTGGTAGGGGTCCCGGCCTTTGGGGCAGCCAGGGAGGCCAGGTCCGCTTCTGGGAGGCAGGAGGACCTGAGTGGCCTTGGAAACCCCAGGACACAAGATAGAGGACAAAAATGTTGGAATTCAGCTGCAAGTGCTGCCTTTTCTGCCTTGCATTTTCACAGTGATGTTTCCAGGAATGTCATTTGCTCTGAAATTAATTTTAGCTGAGAACGATCTCCCAGCTGATGGCTCTGATAGGGTGCTGGAGCTGAGCAGGAGGGCACCAGCTTCCCTCTGGGGTGTGAGGTCTGCAGGCCAGCCGGGGCTGACCCCAGGGCTGTTGGTGGACAGATGGCCTCCTGGGCAAGGCCTGGTGTCCAGCCTCACCCAGGGCCCTTGGGGTCTAAGGCACAGGAGCCTGGCCCCGAGGAAGTCTCAGTCACAATCGAGGCGGGTCAGGGGAGTGATGGTGGGGTCCTGTGAGGGGACCAGGGGTCTCTCCCCATGGTGTGGCCAGTTCTCAGTGCAGTTCCTTGGACCCCATGGCAGGGGGGTGTTGCTGCAGCCCACCCCCATGTCCCCGTTCCATGGCCACAGAGGCACGGTTGTTGAATGAGACCTGGAGTCACCAGGCCACACCCTCACATGACAGATGAGGTGTAGACTCAGAGGGGCTGACCGCTTGCCTCGAGCCCCACTCATCCAACTTCCCAGCATTCTTGGGTCTGATTCCCTCTCGGAGACCACAAGGGGCTTCCCTCAGGGGCATTCGCCCTTCCATGAAACAGCCATGATGAGACCCCCCCCACCCCGCCAGGCAAGAGCAGGGGGCCTTCAGGTGGTGCTCCCATGCCACCAACAGCATGGCAGACGTTGCCTCATAAATGGAGGGGCCGGCCCCTGCTGGACCGAGGGATTTCTGGCCACGCCGAAGGTGCTGTGTCCCCCGTGGCCCTCCCCTGTCCCCAACTCAGAGGCTCCAGAATCCCAGGTGGGGTAGGAAGACCACTCCTGTTCTCTAACCCTGGGGCCCAGCCCCCAGGAGGCCCAGGCCACCCTGAGACAGAGGTGTCCTGGGCAGACGGGGTGGGCAACTCCAGGCCGTGAGACCCCATAGAAGGTCACCTAGCATGAGATGCTTCCTTTCATCCTCAGGAGGGCCCCATCAGAGGTGGGACCTGAGACCCCATGGAGCGGGCTGGGCCCCACTCCTTGTATGCTCTCTGAATCTTGCGTCTCCCATGCAGCTGGGGACCGGAACAACTGTCCACACTGCCCATCGTGACCTGGTCATCCTCAGAGCGCCCATGGGGTGGGGGGTTTGGGGTTCCATGGAGGGCTTTGGGAATTGCTGTGCCCACACCCCACTGGTGAGCGGCGAGTGCCCTGGCTGCCTGTCACCCTAGCCCTGGTCCTGGCCTGATCTCCTGCCATCCTCAGGTGAGGTCAGGCCTAACCACCTGTGTGTTTTCCATCTCCTCCTCCGTAAAGGGCTCGAGTACCAGCGGCCGAAGCATCAGCTTTCCAGTGATGACATCGAAGTGATCTCCACGGGGACACCCCTGCAGCAGGAGAGCCCTGAGCTGTACCGCAAAGGCACCACCCCCTCGGACCTGACCCCCGACGACAGCCCCCTGCAGAGCTTCCCCGCTAGCCCCTCGGCCACCCCACCACTGGCCCCCGCCGTGAGGAACAAGGTCGCCCACTTCTCCCGGCAGGTCTCGGTGGACGAGGAGCGAGGCGGGGACATCCAGATGCTCCTGGAGGGCCGGGGAGGGGACTATGCCCGCAACAGCCGGGGCGAGGAGAAGGCCGGGGGCTCCAGGGGTGTCCGCAGCGGCGCCCTGCGCAGCGGCCAGCCCGCAGATGACTTCCGTGCCCGGGGCTCGGGCCACAAGCAGCCCAGTAACCCCAAGCCCCGGGAGCGGCGGACGGAGTCGCCCCCCATGTTTTCCTGGACTTCCCACCACCGAGCCGGCAACCCCAGCCCCGGGGGCCCCAAGCTGCTGGAGCCGGATGAGGAGAAGCTGAGCAACTACGAGATGGAGATGAAGCCCCTGCTGAGGGTGGACGCGTACATGCAGGAGGCGCATGCCCAGAAGAGACGCTACAGCAAGGGGGGCGCCTGCCGGGGCCTGGCAGAGGACCGCCGCTCCGAGGATCGGGGCTTTGGGTCGCAGAGACTGAGGTCCAAGTCCCAGAACAAGGAGAACGTCAGGCCAGCCTCGTGCGCAGAGCCCGCAGTGCAGAGACTGGAGAGCCTGCGGCTGGGGGACAGGGCTGAGCCCCGGCTGCTGCGCTGGGACTTGACCTTCTCCCCGCCCCAGAAGTCCTTGCCTGTGGCACTGGAGTCGGACGAGGAGAATGGGGACGAGCTCAAGTCTAGCACGGTGAGTGGGTGCCGACCAGTCCCGGGGCAGGGGGTGGGGGTGGTGGTGAGAGCCCAGGCTGGTCCACTGGAAACCTGAGTCCTCCCCCTCCCCTACTACTGAGGCTGGGGTAGGGGGGCCTGGAGGGGTAGCTCTCGGCTGATGGCGTTTGCTTCCCCAGGACTGGGACACCCCTCCAACACATGAAACCAGTGGAGGTTTCAATTCCTATAGACAGATCCAGATCCCTGAGAGGGTTACTCCCAGACTCGATTCTTTTAGCGAAAGTACTTGGGCAATTTTGGAAGCTCCCAAAAAGAAACCAGGCAGCATGGGACCCCATCCTCCCCTAGACCTTCCCCCAACTCACTCAAACCTCCCCGCTGCCTGGAAGGGTCCTTCCCTCCTCTGGGCTGCATCTCCTGGTAAGTAGCCCTCGCCATCACCGTCTTTGAGGACTGTCCTGTGTCCTGGATGGGAACACGGAGAGCCAGACACAGAGAGGAGTTGGGGCATCTGGCTGGGTGGTGGGGTCCACTCATCCACCAGAACACATGTGTCCTGCTCCCACAAAGCCCACACCTATGGGGGGGACAGCAGAGTTCTACGTGGGGCCGTCCACCCCACAGCCTCCCTTCCTACCAGGCCGTGGTTCTCCACGTGGGTGTGGTCCCAGGATGCCTCGTCGGCGTTCTCTGGGAGGTCGTTAGAATGCAGCTTCTCTGGCCCACCCCAGGCCTGCAGGATCAGATGCTCGGGGTGGGCCAGGATCCAGGTCTATCAGGCCCCCAGGGGGACGCTGAGACTTGCTCACGTGTGAGGACACCTGCGTTTCATGCATCCCGACTGGGCCCCCTGGGACTGGGCCCCCTGGGACTGAGCATCGCTGCCGGGCAGGCTGTGTCCACTCCGACCCCTGGGTGTCGTCCCCGTGTGTCAGGGCGTCGTGCCCTTTGAAGAGATGCATCCTGTTGGAAGGTGGCCTGTGGCCCCCGAGGCCATTTCTGCCTCCCCTTGAAACCACTGTGAACACCCGTCTTGCTGGTGGGCTGGTTTCTGAAGTGCTCTTGCCCTCCCTGCACCAAATCCTGGCAGAGAGCAGCCCCCATGTGCTCTCGATGGGCCCTAAACACCAGCTCGCACTTACAACGGCACTTGTTGCATTCCAGCAGCCAGAAACGTGTGCGCTCACGTATGTATGTGGTGTGTGTGTGCATGCTTGTGTGTGTATGCACCCATGTGCATGTGTGTATGTGGCTTGTGTGTGTTATTTCAGGAACAGCCGAATGATGGGCAGGGGTGGGAGATGCAGGAAGGGTTCTATATTTAGCCCCCTTAACCATGCTGGTGCTTTTGGGTGCTTGAAAATGAAGCTCTCTGGGGCAGAGGCACAAGGCTTCCAGCTGGGTGCCTGCAGTTACTTTGCAGGAGCAGCGCCGAGTCCCTGGGGGATGGGGAACTTCCAGCAGTGGCCTTGGGTGCTGCCCCTCATCCTTGTCCTGCAGGGCAGTCTCTGCTCCCAGCAGCGCAGAGGCACCAAGGCCTCAGGCCCAGGGAAGGAGAGGCTGTGCTCCTGGCACCCAGTCGGGCTGGGGCCTCCGCTCCAAGGGAGTCGGGTGCTTTGTGCCCCAGGAAAGGCCCGAAGGCAAGCATGAAGCCCTCCTGCCTGCCCCCACCTGCGGGGCCGGCGCTGATGGCGGTGGGGGCCACGCAGCAGGGCTGTCAGACGGAGCCCGCACAGCTCACGGGAAGGAGGTTTTACTGAGGAAGATGTGCCTAGGGAACTATGACAGGGCTCTCCCAGCGCCGGATTTGGGGTCTCAGGCTGAATTTAGGGGCCACTCTGGGTGGGCCGCATCTGAAATTCGTAACGGCCTCTGAAGTCCCAGTTGTACGGAGCTGAAGGCAAAAGTAACGCAGGTGTGGCGTGTTTACTCAGGGACCTGGGGCCGCAGGCGGGCAGGCACCATGGTTTTCAAAGCCACAGGGAATTCCAAGACCAGGAACTCAGCCTTAGAAGCGAGTGGGGAGCCCCCCTCGATTCTGATGTGAGGGGCTTTGTGCTCTGAGAAGTCAATCCATTACTCTCCTGGAACCCCTCGTTTGGCTTTGGTGGGGGCATGGCCAAGAGAGAAGGCTCTCCCTGGGCGGTGGGCTCACCTCTTCTTCCTCCTCCTGTTCCAGGGCTCGGCTCCCATCCTGGTGGCCATGGTGATCTTGCTCAACATCGGAGTAGCCATTTTGTTTATTAACTTTTTCATCTGATGAGATTGTCGCGTCAGCAACAACGGTTGGTGTACAAAAGGGAGACGTTACAAGAGAAGGACCGCAACTCGGACGGCCCCACAACTGCTTCCGAGTCTTTTCACAGAACAGGATTGGGTATTACTCACAGTTTGCCTTTTCTTCTGGGTAATGTTTTTTGGATTTTAGCCAAAATTCTTTGCTTGTATAACACTATGCTGTGTGGCATGGCAGAAGGAGGCCAGCACGCCGCCCCTCCAGCTTGATGTGGAAAGAAAAGGGATCCTGGCCATCAATGGCAAAAAAATAAAACTGTCATCGTCATAGTCACACTCCCGTCTGGGATGTGGAAAAGGAGGCAGCCGAGGAAGACCCTCCGGAGGGTCCTGCTGTGCCGGGCGGGTGGGGAGCAGCTGCTGTGACGCGGAATGCAGGGTGGGTTAACCCTGCTCTTCCTCTGGGATATTCCAGAACTCTATTCTGGAATGGCAGGTGACAAGCATGGGTGTGAGGCACGGGGAAGAGAGTGTCCCATCCCAGCTGGCAGCAGCCTGGGCCTTTTTCTATTTTAAATGTGTGCTGCATACTTAAGGGAGCAGAGGTCTGCCTTCTCTTCTCTTCCCCATGAAACACATCACAACCCTGCCCTCTTCTCGGCACTGCCCACGGCTTTCCTCGCAAGGCCGTCTCCCCACACTGAGTCTTAAAGCCAAGTCCTTATTTTTCTGCTGTCCCTCCCCCGCCCCCATTCTGCCTTCCTCCCACCAGAACCCAGGGAAGCCGAGCTGCGGACGTCCAAGGGCCCACAGAGCGCTGAGGCCTGGGGGCTGGTGCCGGAGGGCAGGGAGCGGTGTGGGGCCCCCTTAGCCATGGGCCATTTCTGACATCACGCCTGGGCTCCAAGCATCTGGCATTTCTGCACTTAGGATGCACGATGTGTCCCTGTCGGACGTCCGCAGTGGCCCTTACATGACGTTGTCTTCTCCCGCTGTCACTGAGCCCACGGGTTCTCACATCTCTGTCCTGTACCTGTCTCAACTTCTCCCACACATATGCATATTCCCTCCAGATGCCTCATTCATACTCTGGAGCTGGTCTGGTCCCAGGACAGGAATGTGGTTGAAACCCAGTGGCTTGAAAAAATTCCTGAGAAATCGTTGCATATCTATCTCTCCAGAAACATACAACGTAACGTTTCAAACAAAAACAGGCTCCTGGTGTTTCTGCCTTCTCTACCAGCGTTGTCCCACCATCCAAACAAAAGAACAAGGTTCCAGAATGTTTGAGTGCCCCGTGGTCCTAGCTATGGAGCCAGCCCCACCCACGTGGACGGACATGTCTGGGGGGCCTGGCCATGTCCACATGCAGGTCCCACTGCGCCCACGCCCGGGAAGATCCTTCCAGTGAACTCACCCCACGGTTATCCTGGGTACAGCCGTCTACGGCTCCGCCTTGCTTTGCTTATGTTTAGCTGTTTCTCTGCTACCTTTCGAGCAGATTTCTTTACTACACTGCACTGGATTGCTATATTTTTAACCAGAAATAAACTAAAGATTAGAGCATGTTCCAGTTAAATTCAGTTTTATTTTTTTCCGTTATCCATTCACTCCCCGTTCCTTCCACAGTTTGGTTTAGTTTGGGGTCTTTTTGGGGAGAAGGGACGTAGGAGAGGGAGGGAGGGTCCGCAGGAGATATACTTCTGATAACGCTGCTTTCTGAAGGGACAGGACATCTTTTTGTATATCCTACTTTCCGTTCCTCCTTTTTAATACCGAGTGGTTGCTGCAGACCTGACGTGAACCAAATAAAGATGCCTGCTCCTTGCAGCTCTAAGAATCATCCATGCTGGGATATGTGTTTTATAATTCTGTTTGCAACTCTTATTTGTAAAGATTATAGACTTCTTTTGTACATTCCAGTAACTGCATGACACAAAATGGTACCTACAAATTCAGGTGACATATTTACATGCGAACACCATGAGGAATTCAGATACGTATAAAAGCAACAGCACAAAAATGCGTATCATTCAACGACAGCAGCAGTGGTTTCATGCCTAGTGGCTCACACAGGTGACTAGCTAGCGTCCCCTCACTCGTCCAGCTGCCAACACCACGACTGTGAAACCAGATCAACACCCCGTCCTTCAGTCATTCCCCTGCACTGCCGGAGAATTCCACCAAGCATGATGCACTGGGTCTTAAGAGACTCTAGAAGCTATTTTTTAATTGGTTTCCAAACTGATTAAAGACTGGGCTGCCTCCTGGGACTGCTGCAGGCAGGCCCATGTTTTCACTCGGCCTCCCTTGCTTTTCCTACCCGCCCAGAGTCTCAGGTTTCCCGACAGGTGCGCCGGCCATCTCACCCCGGGGCCACGCCGCTGACCTGCTTGTCTCGTGCGCGTTCCTGGTGGGCGTGTGCGTGCTGAGCTAGACGAGGACACATGGGACTGTTGGAAAGAATGCACGTGCATGTCACAGCTGGCGCCCAGTGGTGCAGAGCGTCGACAAGTTTTAATTAATCCCAGAGCAACCTCGTGAGAGTCATTTTCTCTCTCAACAGCTCCTTCCATGCTCTAGATGTGAAAACTAGAGGCAGAGAAATTGTGTTACCTGAGATACCAAGCTGGGGCCCATGCACAGGTGGGGTGACAGGTCACTACCCCATGCCACCTCTCCCCACCCCCCAAGGCTGGGAAACCTGCACTTGCACCTCACTCTGAAAGGACACTGCCCTCTGGGGCCCCAAGGTGAGCCTGTCTGTGCCCGTAGTTTACCTGTTCCCTTTACCAAACCCATGAGGAACCGTGTACATTCACTCACTTGTGCTTTTTGAAGTTTGCTCAGTGCCTGTAGAGTGCTTGGATAAATTCAGGCACCTGGAAAATTCTCTTTATCTGTTCTTTTGCATTCTAAGTTTCGTAATCATTAGCACACAAGATTCCCAAAGACACAGATCAGGTATGCAATACATAAGCCAAAATAATTGACAAGGAAGATGATGCCGATGAAGAAAAACTCAGTATAGCCAAAAAAATGCAAGACCTGTTGCCGAAATCATTTGAGGGGAGGGAGGAGTCATCAAAACGCACGGACTTCCTGACACTTTCCTAAGAAGCCCACAACCACGTTTCTTTGTTGAGACTCCATTGTATGGGAGGTGAGTAAACACCTACGTTGTAGGGATGACAGGCTCTTTCCTACATGCACAAACCCAAGATTCCCCAGGAAGTATGAAGAACACAGGTTGGGTCCCCCCAGCCCACAAATCCCGAGGGCCCACGTCTGGTGCCCAGGGGACACAATTAGGGCAGCTCCACTACTGGCTAACACCGGATGTCCCCACCTGGTCATCAAAGTGCTCCCTTTCACTTTCAAAAGAGTCCCAGTTTAGAAAATAAATTATAAGGCCACTCCACATAACAACTGAAGGACGTTACCGAGAGCCCAGTGGAGATGTTCCGACACCAAGCCCAAGATGTCATGGACTTGTTAAGATGACTATTTGGGGGAGCGAATGAAATTAGGGTTTTTTTTTGCATTTTTCAGTTTAGGTTTTTGATTATCCTTTCAAGACTTCCAAGCATCTTGAATCAGCACCAATACCACCCCCTGGAGGCCGTTCTCACTGGGACGCCCAGCAGGCATTCTCAGAGATGCCCCAGCGGCCCTCCTCCAGGGCAGTGGCTTACATCATTTCACATGTATAGTAAGACGCTTCTCAAGAGTAAGGGTGGAAGGGGCAACCTCTTTTCTAGATTAAGCTCACCTTCTTTAACTCTTACAGGTCTTGTCTTCCAATTTTTCTTGCCTTTGGTCTCAGACACTTCACATAAAGGTGCCTACTAGATTTTAAGACATCTATTTCCATAACTGAATGTGCCACCTGACCCGAAAACCAACTGACAGTATCGAGTACAGCTGACAGATGCCTCAGATTTTCCTGATACTGAGTAAACGCCACAATGGAGTCATTTTTAATATTGCCTAGGACGAGGATTTGCTCCTGGTCAGTTAAACATCGAGTGAAGTGACAGGATCAAGACTGCAGAGGAGGAGCAATGTGTGAGGGTGAAGCGCAGACTCTTAGTCAGCTCAAGGTGTCCCGTTAGTCTGGTTCTTGCCTGGGGCCGGCCAGGTGTCAGGCAACACCATCAGTGAGCACAGACTGAAAAAACCAGTCGCCCCAAGTGCCAAGAAGTGTCGGTAACTCAGCCTTAAAAGAAGCAAGAGAAAGTACAGTTGCCTTTGTTTAAAAATGAAAAACGCAGCTGTGTTTTTATGGCATATGCATATGCCTGGACAAGGTGAACTACGGAACAGGTGGAACGTCTGAGAGCTGTGGAAACCCAGCATCCCGCCACTGAAACATCTGCGGGGATGCTTCCTTTCTGAGGACATGGGGGAGACGCCGGGCCCCAGAGAAGCTGCAGAAGGCAACGTGGTGCAGGGTGGTGCCTAGAGAGTGGAACCCCCAGGGTGACGGAGCTAACTCTTTGAAAGATGGCTAAATGTCCTCCAGAACCGTGGCCCACACGTTAGGAACAAATGCAATCTTCAGAGTTTGCTTCTGGGTGACATCCCAACGTGGAAGTGCCTGAGATATGAATGGGCAAACACGTTTGTTCCAGCTTGTTCCTAAATCTCAGAGAAGCAGGCAGCCCCACTGGGCAGCTCAAAGTGTGGACGTGATAGCCCCGGGGGAGTCTGGGGTGCAGGGGACGGCGAGCAGGGCAGGCCAGAGCAGCCAACCTCACATACCTACCTCACTTCTGTCCGCCCCACTACTCCCCTCACTGTGCGCCTGCATCACAGGCCCGGGCCCCAAGCCTCGCACGCCTGTCGTCACGCCTGTGCACATCCTCTCCCGCCGCCCCTCCTGTCGTGTCCGTGCCACACGTGGATGCAGGTCTCTAGCAGTTCCACCACTACTTGGTGACATGGTGATAGTCCAAAACTGATGAAAGGCAGGAGGCCCCAAGGAATGGCCGAGATGGGTCTTGGCTGGACCTCTGCTCCACCACCCGGCTGGCAGTGCCTCATTTAGAATGCTTGATTCAGCCCGCCTCAGTAATTCATTCCCACCTGCTGTGAAGGTCAGACAGGCGCCCAGGCTGTCTCCTTGGAGGTCAGCGCCCGTCTTGCCCTTGATACACCCAAGGCAGCTGTGAGAATTTCTAGTCCCTTCAGATCTCGTATTCCAGTGTTTCCTGCGTGATCACACACGGACAGATGAAGGGTTTTCCATCGGATCCTGTGTTCAACCGTGACCACCGAGAACATGTACACAGCCCGAGGGTTTCTCTCCCTCTCTAAATGTTCGTTACCAGTTCCAAACGGGGCAGATACATTATGCAGCCAGCTGACCTTCAGTGAGCGACGCCTACCCCACACCGGGTGGGGCCTGGGAAAGGCAGGAAGCATGTCAGGAGGAGGGCCCCTCCCCAGTCACCCCATATGGGCTTCCAAACACTGGGGTCAGGTGCAGGGAGAAGATGAGTGTGAGGCACACGAAGAGGGGAGTCAGCTCTGTGGGGCCAAAGGCCACAGCACGCCTCCCTCCAGGCTGCTCCTGCACTCCCTGCCTGGGACCCCCCAGCCCCTCCCACTGGGCCCGAGTGAGCCCTGCTCCACTGAGCGCTGTCACTGACACCATCAGAGCAGCGTGGCCTGCACTCTCAGCCCGCCCGGCCCTCGGCCCTCACGCACACAGTGGCTCACAAGCGAGCAGAGGCACCCCACTGCTGACCTGCTGGTGCCCCTACCCTGAGCTACACCTGACAGTGCTTTCCAGCTGGGCCCTTATTTGCACCACTCACCATTTCCAAAGAAACGCCATCCGATGTAGCCAGAGTGAAATAAACCAACACGGCCCTCACTGCTCGGGTGGGCGGCGTGTGGAAACTTGCCCTCACTCTAGACATGAAACCACTACCCCTGACGTAGATGCCTTTTTGTGAATTCTAATAGAAATCGGTCTCAATCTGCACTTTCTTGTTTCCGTTTTTTCCCTGGTGCATGTAAACTGTTTGCTACCACAGTGCAATCATTCTGTGCAATGACAAAAAGGGAATGTTGACTATGTTCTGATTTTTCTTACTGATGAAGCGGCTAAAAACGTTACCTCGGCCTTTTTTCTTTTCTCTTAGCTGGGAAAATAGCTTGGTTACTTACAAAATGAAAATAAAATAATTTTCTTTAATGAATGTAACTGTTTAAATCATACCATTAGTATATATTTCATTATCTGAAAGCAAGGGACACTGTCGAGATTCAAGGAAAATTTTGCTCCTTTTAGTAATAAACATCGTCATTTGAAACTTGGGATAACTCGTATCATCTCATTATAAATCTGTGTCTCTCATGCAAGTTCCCTCTACTGCCAAAATTTCAAGATGGATAAATGCAAATTCCTTCCTATGGAACTGAAGCTTACATGATCCGACAGCGCCCTGTCACATGTGGAGGATCTTATTACTTTTTGAGCAGAAAAGCTCCCTGAACCCGAATCTGAAATGTGCCCCCCACCCTCCCGTGCAGCCGTTCCTGTGTGTGAGCCAGTCCCGGCATCCACTGTCTCGGGGCCCAGGTTCCCCACAGCCTCCGCGTCCCGGCTGGCGCTCACCCCCCTGCCAGCTGACGGAAGACACAGACAGGCTCTGCCCCAAGGACCTCGCAGTATCATTTCCTCAAACCTATCTTTAATTTTCTTAAACTTCAACATCTGTGTTTCTCATGGGGCAGTTCTCAGTATCTTTCTTTCCCAATAGAGTTTCTCCTGCCTCAGAATCCTCCCCTGACACCCTGGTCTTTCTAGGTCCAGCTCCCTGGATAAGAAGCGCCCCCTCTTCCCTGCCCTCATGGCCGGGAGGAGCCCGCCTCTCGAGTCCCAGTCCCCCAAACACGGTTCTGTGCTCCATGAGCCCATCTCAGTCCTACAACAACAGCCCCAGCTCCGCTCCCACATGGCACCAGCCAACCAGGCCCAGTGCTGGCTGCGCCCGTGGCGTCTCTTCAAGCCCCCTAAGGCTTATATCCAGTGCGGGGCTCAGAGGGGCTATTCGGGCTGAGACAAGGAAAGAACAGGCTTGAGCTGGGCTCGCGGATGCCTGGGGCGCCTTGGTCCCAGCACGTGTGGCCACTGGCCGCGCTGCCTGGTGCCTTAGCTTCCCCCGCTGGACACCATGGTCAGACCCTGGTGACCAGGCCCGGCCTGGACTCGGACGGCACTGCCAAAGTTCTCTTGCCAGACAGACATGAAGATGACTGTGGTCTGTACTCAGGAGCTATCTGAGCCAATGAGACGAGACTGGTCTCTGGTGACCAATGGCCCACACACAGCTTTGCTTCCCAATTTAAAACACGGGGGAAAACAGTAGTTACTAGAAAGTTCCTTCAGTGCTCACGAACTAAGCAGTAGATGCAGATGGGTTTCATGCTTGCTAGAGCTGATCCCTTTTCCTTCATGCTAGGGAAAAACCATCCCCTCCTGAGCCACACTCCTCCAACTAAAGCCTCCAGTGGACACTTGTGTTACCTTCTCCTCATCGCGACACACTTGGGGGTTTCTAAGTGTGAATCTCATTCATGTTTCCTGACCTGTCCCTGAACTAGCTCCAGATCCCCCTGGGGAGGCCTCTTGAGGGCTCCCTCCCTCCCCAAGTGGGATGGCCCTGGAGAGGCTGTCTCCTCAGCAGACCCGCCCAGTGTCTGGTCCCTCAATGTATTTCCACTGTCACCTAGCCACTGACTTCCTGCTTGTACCAGTGTCTGCAGGGGAGGTGCAGCCAGGTGATGGGCACCTGTAGGAGAGAAGGGCAGAACCCATCAATGGGGGACAGGAAGGGGGTTCACCAACAACTTGGCAAACCAAGGAGCAGGCAAATAGGGCAGGGCCCTCACTGACCCTGAACACAGCCATCTCCTCCAGCAACCCAGAGATGGGGGCCCGGGGGCTTCGCGCTGGGCACTTGTGGCCACGGTGGCTGTCGGGGCATCAAGAGCATTCAGTTCAGCAAACTAGTCACCAGCAGACAGACGGCGGGGGGCGGTTTGCTGGCTGCTGCTTCTGGGGATGGCACAGCACAGTCCTGTGCCCGTCTTCCCCCCACCATGCTCCTCCTGGGGAGGGCGCGGTCCTGTGCCCATCTTGCCCCCACCCTGCTGCTCCTGGGGAGGGTGTGGTCCTGTGTCCCGTCTCCCCC